ATCTGCGAGACACATGATTTACTGTTTTACTTCAGTCTGAAAATAGCAGTGACAACATCACGACAGCTACAGTTGATTGGATGGTTAAAAAATATCTTCCCTTCTCATTTTTTGATGACGAAGCTACACAAGTATATTTTCGATCAATTTGCCCAAATATGGTGTTTCCTAAAAGGTCCACACTTAGAAGGAAGGTCAAAGAACGGTTTGAAGAGCTTCAATTGAATCTTAAGAAACGACTACAACAATTTTCATCTAATGTCATTTACCATTGATGGATGGACGTCAATTGCTGGTAGGAGTTACTACGGGGTCACTATTCATTATATAGACAACGAATGGAAGTATCGATCTGTAGTCCTTGATTTTATACCATCAGGCGGTCGACATACTGGGGAAGATATTGCAACGTTTTTCCACGAATGTTTATATGTGAATATGACATAATTGATAAAATACAGGTTATCACGGTCGACAACGCAACTGCAAATACCAAATTTATGTATGAATTAGATAAACAGCTGCCACACTTTGATTCAGACAATCAACATTTCCGGTGCTTTGCTCACATTTTGAACCTTGGTCTACAAGATTTATTAAAGACCTTAGCATTACACAGTGAAACTGACAATAAGGGACAAGAACAGCAGTATGAAGATAATGAAGACGAAACTGAGGAAGATAAAGAATATGCGCCAAATATTGCTGACTCACGTACAGCATTTAATTACGCAGTATTTCCAGTAAAATAAAAAGAAGTGAGATATTGAAGAGGAAGTTTCAGTCTGCTTGTGAAGCAGCTGGCGTGCCATCAAATCTGAACCCCATACTCGACTGTCCAACGAGATGGAATTCCACACATGATTGGATTTGGTTTAAAAGTGAGAACTGGCATTAACATATTGTGCACTTCTGTCACCGAATTGAATGATTTTCAAATCACAGATAGTGAATGACAAATACTCGAAAAACTACATAAGTTTCTAATAAACTTTAAACTTCTATCAACGAAACTTGGTGGAGAAAAATATGTTACATTACCGCTAGTCATTGTATCATTCAATCTCTTGCTCGATAAAATTGAATCCATGGTAAAACAATTAGATGAGAAACCTAATCGATCCGAAGTGGATGAAAGCCTCATTCTGGGTTTTCAAGCAGCTCGAGACAAAATGCTTAAACATTATAAAAAGAGCAACTGGATTTATTGTACCTCTTTAGTATTAGACCCAGGGCATAAGACTCAGACTTTTGACATGACATTATGGGGAAAGCAAATTAAAACAAAAAGCCTGCGCAAATTTAATGAACTTTATAAAGAATATAAAAGTCTACACTCAGTGAATACATCTCTAGAATCACCAAGAAATTAAAAGAAAGTATGTGAATATGATGAAGATGAAGACGTAATAGACTTTGAGAAATTGTATGCATGTCCCTCGACGTCATCTGGATCTGGATCTTTTCACCAAGGCTTAGTTATAGACGAGTTGGAGGAGTACCTAAGTAAACCCACAGCCGCCAGTTCGGAAGACATTTTAGAGTGGTGGAGGGCGCATGAGACAGAATATCCGACTTTATCGAAGATGGCCCGTGATTTTCTTTCAATACCTGCAACTTCAGTACCTGCTGAGAGATTATTTTCTAAAGCATCATTAGTAATAAGAAAACATAGAAATAGGTTAAGTGATGAGTCAGCCAGATGGTTACTTTGTATTTTTCTTGGTCAAAAGAATTAATATAGTAATGTCAAAGCTGTTGTGTACTGTTATGTAATTTAATTTGTATTGTATTTTATTTTTTTATTTAAATAAATGGTAAATTGTATAACTCTTTTATTCCATTTCATATAAGGGTCTATCAATCTCTTTCTAGACAGATAATGTTCTTTATAATACAGTCAAGTTAATGTCATTAATTTGTTTTTTATATGTTTTGACTAAGTTTTAGCACATGTAAGCTTATTAAATGTAAACGTTTATTAAGAAACAGACTAACTCCCATGACCATGAGAGTTGGTAGACAGCTCAGTTGGTTAGAGCATCGGCACGGATTGCTTAGGTCCTGGGTTCAAACCCCACCCGATATTAGTTGATTTTTCGAATTTCTCATTAAATGTTTAGACATTTATTAATTTGGTTGGTCTTTCTATGGCTACGTTAATTCAAGCTCAAAATGTGCCTACTCTGTTAAGTTGTTCTAAGATCTAAAGTAACGTTTAATAAATAACAATAGGCTAATAGGTAATTGCGAGACTTGCGAGACTCTTGCTGCAAGACCAAGACCAAGAACAAGACTGAGAGCGCAATACCAAGACCAAGAACAAGACTAGGTGTATTGGCGCAAGACCAAGACCAAGACTGGCTAGTCTCGTCTTGTTCTTGCATTTGGGCAACACTAATTTCAATAGCCTCGCGAATCATCCTTGGTAGGAATCGGTGTTCTGTTGCGAGGATTTTGGTCTATCAAACCTGATATAATGGTTGGGACGATCCTGAACATGTTGACATACTACAAACTTTCCGGAGCGTCGTTGCTTCACATCAGCGATATGAAAGCGGGACGTCAAACACCTGTCTCCCCCATGACCATGGGCGCTGGAAAGTGCCTGAAACGTCGGGAATTAAAAAAGTTAAAATCCGCGATACAATCCGTAGAATCCGTAGTTTTAATACGAGCTATACTGAAGCTGCGTAAGTCTCGCCGCATGCAATTTAAGATCTGTCTTTTTAGGTGCCTGTACGTTTTCACATCTGTTAAAGACTGCAGTTTTATACTGTTTAACAGCCATGAGACTAAGAGTGTGTAAGAGATGTTTTTGGTACTGCTGCGAAGAGTCTTGCAAAAAGTAATTTCAAGCTGCGAGATCTTTCTGGCGTTTTCTATAGTCGCTCCTCTCGTCTTAAATTTGAGTGAAAATATAACTATAGTATGTTGCCGCCCATTCAATAATTTTCGTCCACTCACAATGCAAAAACTAGGCCGGCTGAAATATCATGATGTTTTGACAAGACAGGAATAAGGTAAAGCTAAAACGCCACTACTCCTTTATCATCAGCCCGGTCAAGTTTACTTGCTGGGTATGGGCTTCATGTAGTAGGGAGGAGGTGGATTGACAATCGCATTCGCAGTATCAGACATCTAGCAACTCTAGGACTGATGCCTGTCGCCGGTCTGAATATTTTATTTACGTTTGGTTTACAAACACATATTCATTACACCATATCTTTTTTGGCACTATGAATTTTACATTCAATATGTGAAGAGAGAAACTGATGAGTGGTCATTAACAGTCAACTAAGAATGAGAAACCAGATTATTTTGATAGTCATATTTACTATTAGAACTTTATTAATATGTGTTTGATATTGTTATCACTCAAATGATGAGTAGTGTCAAAGGATTGCATAAAATAGTACAATTAAATGATAACTTTAGCAGAAGTGTCTCAGTATGGTAACATGAACCAAATACAAAATTAATATAGAAGGCATCTTAATTTGTTACTGGCACTGGAATCATTTTAGAAAAAGAAACTCCAGCTGGTGTATAAAAGAAGATAAGTAATTGCTAATAAACTGATTATATAAATAATTAATATATTTATACTGTAATAGGTCTTATACTTATGAAATTGCTGTTCTGCAGTACTGGGCATTTCTAATCAAAATATTTTTTGTTTTGCTAAAAATTCTGATTTCAAATTTATGTTATTTTAAAAACATGATTCAACAAAATTTATGTCATTTGTTTATTGATAAGTGTTACGTATTCATAGCCTTTGAATATTTTTCGTCGTCATGGATATGTTAAAAATTCGAGTAATTATGGAATATGAGTACCGACGTTGCAGCAACGCGGCACAAGTGGCACACAACATCAACAACGTTTACGGAGCGAATACTACGAACGCATCACCTGTTATTGGTTTGCCCTCTTACCTTCTGGAAGTTTCGACCTGAAAAATGAATCCCAGGGTAGTCCGAAAACTTTGGTCGACAATAACGAATTAAAGTAGATTGTGGAAGCTGATGGTACTACTCAATCTACGGCTGAATTAGGAGCAGATTTCGACGTTAGCATCAAAACACTGTTAGTCCATTTGCGTCAAAATGGCAAGGTAAAAAAGCTTGACAAATGGGTGCCCCACGAATTCAATGAGCGCCAGCGCGAAGTACGAGTCGAGACGTGAGCACGTCACTGCTCACCAGGCACACAAACGAAGGAATTTTGAACCGCAATGTTATCTGCGACCAAAAATGGATCCTGTTTTACAATCACATGCGTCACATAGTTAGATCCTGGTTCAGCACCTAAACAATGCCCTAAACGAAAACTTACTCTTAGAAAAGTGATGATCACTGTATGGTGGTCTAGCGCAGCGCCGGTGTGATTCAACACAGCTTATTACCAAATGGGATGAGCATTATTCCAGGTGTGTACTGTGAAGAACTGAGCACAATGATGGAGAAGCTCGCACGTCTCTAACCAGTTTTGGTCAATCGCTTCGTCCCGTTGCACCTACAAGACAACGCGTGACCTCATACTGCACAAAAGACAGTCTCCAAGTTACAAGCTTTATGTCATCCGCCGTACTCATCAGATCTTGCGCCTACAGGCTTCTACTCTTTCCAGAATTTAGATAACTTTTTGACGGGAAATAAATTAAATACCCGACAGGCAGTATTAAAATGATTTTGAAGAATTTGTTGCTTCCCATCCACCTGATTTCATCAAGAAGAGCCAATACTAAAAAAAATTGTAAACCAACAAAGTTTAATTTGAGGGCAATTTACAGAGTAGTTTTTTTTTTGAAGAATTGGGCTTTTGGGGATTATACGGGCATAATTAGGAAGTAGCAACAAAACATGGTCTTTTTTAACTAAAACCAAAACCACATCAGTTAAAGTTCTACCTTGTCTTGTTATTACAAAAATTTTATGAATCTCTGGATGCCTAGCAAACTTTGCGTGATAGTAACATTTATAAATAGGGCTTACCTCTAGATAATGGCTCTAAAAGAGTTTTATATGCTTCATTTACTAGAGATGAGTAAATCTCTGAGATTTCTTGCTCTTCTTTATTCCTGTAATAATAATAGTTAATATTTGTGTTATGTTTTAATTACTAGATTATAATAATAATAATGTCATCTAGACCAAATTTCAGTCACGGCGGCCTGCCTCAACTGAGGCTAGCCATAGGCGCAGGAGAGGATTCTAGTGCCCAAGTGTATGCACAAGCACAGGTGCACTATCTATTCCCTCACTCTCGTAGTCCGATGGGACGGTAAACCGACACCGACTGGACAGAGGAGGATGTTATGTATAAATCGCTAGATTATTACATTGTAGAACTTACTACAACTGGGTAGTTGAACCACTAGTTGACTGTAATTAATAATTTACTGCATCTAGTAAACAGGCCAAACCTGTTGGTTGTCATGTTGCTAACACAAAGATGATCTATTGTAACCATGTGTGTAAAGTAAGGCCTATTTCTGACTTGTCAGTGCAGGATCTGTACCCTGGACAGTGGACACGTATCCCGAGATGCAGTAAAACGAAACGATCCCTCCCCGCTCCCGCACATACCGATATAATGTAAAATGCCAATTAGAAGACGCGCATTAAAATATAATTATGCGCTCGGCAAGGTTTCGGTACCGCGTATACCGAGCGACACGAATCCGCACCGCTCCCGTACCGACAAGTCAGAAAGCAGCCTAAAATATGTATACTTAGTTGTTATCATACTTCAATTTATGACAGCAATTATTAAAAGTAATATATATTTATGTGTATAGATGTCTACCAGCATCAATAGAAATCATTTTCAACCTACTTCAAAAAAGGAGGAGGTTCTCAATTCTACTGTTTTTGTTTTATGTTTTGCCTCAGAACTTTTTTATAGGTTTTATTTTGATGATTCTTTTTTATTTGAAAGCTTGATCAAGATATAAACATTAGTTTTTGAGTTATCCTTTATGCATATTTAATAACTAAAACTACATTGATGATGTTCTCATTTTATCTATATTGGTTGTACAATTTTTTATAATTTTACCACTTGTGTAGTTTAATGGCATTGTACTGTAACTACTCTTGTAATATGTTGTATGTATCCCTAAATAAATAAATAATAAGAAAATATAATTTGCCTTGGCTATTTTGTGTTTTAAACAGATTTAATTGGTTTTATAGGCTCACAAATAGTGTTTTAATCGCCACATCTATTATATATATAGTAATTAAAAGAACCGTACAAGTACAATAATATTTATGATTATTCAAATGAAGGGGTTGAAAGGATCTAACCACTTCCCTTTTCCTGAGAACTTTATTTTATTCCATTTAATTCCAGACATTTGGCCCAGCTTAACTGTACTAAGCCTACAATCAATTTGGAGGTTAAAACTTTTATGAGGGATAGATCTATTTTTATGAGTATTATCCTTAAATATTATAGGACTACAGTTTTCGAGATATACAATTATAAAATTACTAGTGATCTGCCCCGACTTTGTATGGGAGATTTCCGGATCTCGACAACAGCACCACCTACTGGGTCCAATTATGAATCCAAACCATTCTCAAATCAACTTAATCACACAAAATTTCATCAAATATCGGTCTAGCTGTTTAGGAGTTCAGTCACACATATGGACGGAAGAATTATACATATAAAGATTTTCACTTACATGAAATTTATGATTTTTTGATTTGAAACTCAACTGTGGTGTGTGAACTTTTACTATCTACAATAAATCTATAAATATTTTGAGTTAAACATAATTTTTTTGTGAATATCCACTAGGTACCCTATATCTTCTCTTGAGTGTCATAAGAGGCGACAGAGTGAGGCAGGCAGTAGATGGATAGCATCTTCCTGATAACAGCAATTACCACAATAAAAAACTGCGGTTGCCAACCCGTTTTTCAAGCGTGGTAATAATAAATTTCAAGTATGGTAAACATCCCCCAATGAGCAACAATACAAACAAACCACCCCCGTCCCCGGTGACCCCGCTATTCCTGGCTACAGTGGCGACCATGGTAATGGCTAGGTAGGAGGTTCTAAGAATCTCCGGTGGAGGTTCGGTTGCCACCTACGACGACTCTACCTGGCAACATATAACACACGCACCCTGAGGAATGACGAGAAGACCCTAGAGCTGAAAAAAGAGGTAGACATGTGAAAGAAGCGACTTCAATCAATATTTTTAAAAGAATATTATTTGAATATATTTATAATGATGAAACTATGCATTAAAATTATATGGACCACCGCCTTATAGTTGATAGGAATACAATGTACTCGCTTCTTGGGTAACGATCGACCGCTATAATTTTTAATTATTTTTTTACTACCCACAAGCACTAGAATTATAATATAGATGTTATTGTTCTCATGTAAGTGACTTATTGTCTTAATGAGAAATAAAGTTCTTTAAACCGAAAAGAGGTAGACAAGTTGCTCTGGCATATTATAGGATTATCCGAGGTCCGAAGAGAGGGGGGAGAACACGGTAATCATCGAATCCCGCAACTTTTCATTAGGGTCTCTGGTTCTCTACACTCACCATATAAAACAGCAGTGTTCAGCTGCTATTTTATGCTAGTATTTTGTTAGAATGTGGTTCTTCCCCAGTCTAGGTGACTCGTACATGCTACAACTATACTATACTACTAATATAGTGCAGCATGACTCTACCATGTCTAGTATAGAGTATCATTGGAATCAGAGAATATTACCACCTATCAACTAAGCTAATAGGGATTAGGTTAAAAATTGTTACAGAATAGATTCAGCCAACACCATCATACATGGTAACTGTCTGTCCAATGCTTAGTGTTGCAAAAAAGCCAGAGCACATAGGAAGTGCAGTCCCTGCCTGATGTAAAATATTGCAGATACTATGCCAAAGCTCCTTCTACAACTGGCAGTGCTTAGTTGCTAACTAATTAAATTTTCTAGTGTAATAATCCTAATCACTTTATGGTGCTGCATGTTGCCCTTGACCCACTTAACATAGTCACTTAATAGCTTTATGGAAAGGTTTTGGAGCAGGTGAGTTCAAGCTGGTATTCCTACAGTTCCATACTACATTTGGTGGATTTTGTACGTTACTTTAAAAATATTTTAATTTCCGAGACACATTTGTTTTACAAAGTCACATATAAATTAGTAGTCATAATAATTAGAATTAACAATTTCAGTGGTGATTGGGATAGTGAAACTGGGTTACATAATATTATGAAATTTAAAGTGAGCGCCCAGCCTTTGAAGCTTGCTAAATACATATTTTTACTTAATATTGCTAAAGTGCCTATCAATAAATTTATAAAATGTGATAGTTGAAGAGTTATACAGTAACTTTTCAAAAATAACCTTATTTCAATTTGACTTACTTGTTAGCAAATTTATCTGGATGTAGTTGTTTTTGCAGTTCCTTAAACTTCTTGGCCAAATCATTTTCATCTAAGTCATATGTTTCATGAATACCCATGATCTTGAAATAATTTTCCTTTGCTTCGGGAGGTTGTACGGCGTTGCAATTTGAACAAAACAGATGTGCGCTTAAATTATTAATGTTTTTGCCACATGACCAACACGATACGAATCTAAACTGATTCATTAAATATGACTTTGAGCTCAAATAAAACAAAATTCGATCGAAAGCCATAATTTTGTTGTTGTTTCAAATAATACGTAGTGTTTAACTTTACATAGATATTTGTTTAATAGTTTGTAAATTGTTGATACTATGTATATGTAATTGTATACATAGGTATGGATAATGTTAATATTTTTTTAAATAAATAATTTTGTTCAAAACAAAATACTGGATATGTTCCGAAATACAACGCAGTGTACTGTCCAATGCAAATTTATACAAAGGTCCTCTGTGCAAATGACGTCATAATTTGACACTTTATTGTACTAGCGAGCCGCCGCCATATTGTGTCGGATATCCGGCCATAATAAAACAATTTTTAACCTGTTGTGTGTTTGCCGAACGAAGCATGCCAGAATTTGTTTCTATTTATTCAAATACAAAAAAAGACGTGTGACACTCGGGGACTGCCGCGGTAAAGCTATTGGGTGTGTTTGGCAGAAAAAAGCGCTAGCAAGCGCTTATAAGCGCTAAAATAGTTTTCGGCCAGGACACGATTGCTACTTCAGTAGCGCTGACACAATCCGCCATTTTGCTTATTTAATTTGTTTGTTTTGAAGTAGAGTTTATAAGTTGTTTTGTGCAATATTAGTTTTAAGTAATATAATGACATGAATAAACATATACATGCTATTAAAAACTCATGATTGGTAAGTTTTTAATATGAATACTTTACAAACATATATTTAAATTAGGTTAGATTCCCCCGGTTAAAACTAACATCGTGTCCTGGAGGAAAATAGCTACTTACGATTTGACAGCGCTTACCGCTTACGATCGCCATTTTGCTTACAAGCGCTTGCTAGCGCTTTTTTCTGCCAAACGCACCCATTGCATAGCATTTTTTATCAACTTATGCAATTATAATTAATTATTTATTTTATTTATGCAGTTAAGTCTTTGATATTAAATCAAGTTACACTTTTTGAGCGTGGTGACCGATAAGAAAACAATTTTTATTCTCTTATTGTATAAATGAGAAGTTAATATAAATGAGAAGTTAATATTGTTTAAAATATTTTTAATATCTTACAATACATGTAGGTTATTCAGGAATTTTTATCATTCAGTTAGCAGCTAGTGTACACGCATACGACTAGTCGCACGCACACAAACACCATGCCGAAGTCTGCCGAGTGCCGAAGTCTGCCGAACTGAAACGACGTTAGACGATGCACGGCTTTCAACGCCACACCTCCGTGCCCGTCGGAGTGGGGAGCGTGAGGTTTTTTTCGTTACGGGATTCGGTCCCCGCGCTCAAGGCCCGCGATAGAAGCTATGCAATAGCTTGAAATCATAGAATAATTGATGGTATATCCATTAGGAGGATATAATGATTTTTGGAACACAAAATGACAAAATAATTTCCAACACTTTTCCAAATGGCGCAAAAGTATGACGTCATTACTGTCCAATGTTTTGGAACGAATCACCAGGATAGCGTTAGCGTCGATTCATGACGTCATTTGCATTGAACAGTACACTGCGTTGTATTTCGGAACTTACTCTAACTCAATCTTGTCATAGTCATTGGTCATTGTCATTTGTCAGTGTCATGTCATTGTAATTTTTATTATTTAACTTGCTTTACGACTCTGGGTTCTAGCCCTTATAAGCCTATCATTTCTTTCAGAATCTTCATTTTATATATTTTTCTTCAAAATAAGCTGATGCGTCACATTGCGAAGTTTTTGGGAGATTTTGACCACAACTCAACCCGGCGACTGTTGATGTTTGACGAAAGGCCACTCAAGTTCATAAGGCGCCCAAGCGATCAAATTAACTTGAAGTTTATATCGACATCAAATCACTGGTTTCGTCGTTTTCTACAATAGTTCATACGCGCGGATACTTAATTCACAAAATCGCATCACTTTTACGAATCAAAATCCATTTCAAACTATTATTTAAGCGACAAAACAGGAGCGACAATCCGTCCGCGGACAAGTTCCCGCCAAAACTCCCCATGTCATTGTCATTATCATTTATTACCATGGAGGTTAGAGAACAGAAGAACGATCGCGGTAGAAAATAGTGTCCCAGAAATATGGACAAAATAAATTAGGCGCTGAGAACACTAAGTTGTTTCAATAAAAGCGGGTTGTTGTGCGCTATTATAGTTTGAAATGATTATATTTATAAAATATCATTGAAATAAAAAAGAATATAATGAAATTATTATTATTTATTATCATTATTTATTAATAAGTTATTTATAAATTATGTTCTTTATAATTTTAATTATTATCAATATTATAAATTATTACAAATATAAATATTTGTAATAATATAAAATATTTTTTTATAATTTTTTTAATAATATTTCACCATGTTATTATGTTTATTTTTGTCAATAATTAAAAAATACGTGTGGCATTCGGTGACTGCCGCGGTAAAGCTATTGCATAGCATTTTTATCAACTTATGCAATTGTAATTATTTATTTAATTTATTTATGCAATTAAGTCTTTGATATTAAATCAAGTTACACTTTTTGAGCGTATTGACCGATAAGAAAACAATTTTTTTCTCTTATTGAATAAATGAGAAGTTAATATTGTTTAAAATATTTTTCATATCTTACAATACATGTAGGTTATTCAGGAATTTTATTTAGCAGCTAGTGTACACGCATACGTCTAGTCGCACGCACACAAACACCGTGCCGAAGTCTGCCCAGTGCCGAAGTCTGCCGAATTGAAACGACGTTAGACGATGCACGGCTTTCAACGCCACACCTTAGTGCCCGTCGGAGTGGGGGAGCGTGAGGTTTTTTTTCGTTACGGAATTTCTGGATTCGGTCCCCGCGCTCATGGCCCGCGATAGAAGCTATGCAATAGCTTAAAAATTACTTCACAGATACTAGGTACTTACCGACGGCAGCGCGGCTATAAATTTTACAAAATATTTTTAGAAAATATACAACAAGAACTTCAAAAAATTTATAAATTGCTTAAGGTCAAAGCCAGAATGATGCAAAAATATCTTATATTCGAGGTAATATTCCCCCTGCTGAATAGAGATAAATACAAATTGTACAAAATTATAACGACTCCTCATCAGGTCGAAAATAATATAGAGATAAGCATTTTCCCCATTGCGGAATATACAGCTATAAGTTTACGAAAGGACACTTATTTGAAAATAACAAACAAAGAGTTATATTTATGTTTACATGAGGAAGATGTTTATTTGTGTCCTATTCGGCAGCCTATTTACCATCTTTCAGAAGACAAGAAGTTTTGTCAATCAGGGTTTCCGATACTTTTTTTGCCGCCAGGCGGTGCTTCGTATGCGTCAGGTCCAAACAGCTGTCAGATAGCACAGATTCCTACCGAACGTATTATTTTTTTTTAGTGAAATTTTATGTATTTGGAAGAGTTATTGATTTTATTATGGATTACGGCCAAAGAAAGGTTGCCGAACTGAAAATTGAGCTCAAAAAGAGAGGCGCAAAAGTCACTGGTACTAAAGAAAAGCTCATTGAAAGGTAAACATAATCTACTTCTATTTGTTTCCACAATTTGATTGTTTTTTTTTTTAACTACTAAATTGAAGTTATTTGTGTTTTAGTGAGTTGTTGTTGATTAATGTATATTATATATTCCAGGCTAAATGACTATGACAGAAACAACAACTTCAAATCAAATGAAAATGATAATTCTCATCTCTTAAGTGAGATTAATTATGTAATAGAATGGCCAGAAGAAAAGTTATACAAAAGTGTAGATTCAAAAACAGTTTTACCCAATTTTGACATTATTAACATAAATACGTATTTCCTTGAATTGTATAAAGACGGCATAGGAATGTCAGATTATTCTGCAGTGCACAGAAGAGGTTATAATATGCTGCAAAATAACTACCTACTCGCATTAGTGACCGCAAATACTAGTACACATATATTTTTCAAAGGTCAAGTCCATTCTGAAAATACAAAAGCCCTCACTTATTTTGCTTCCATTGCCATATGTAATGGAAGTGGATCTATTATACAATCGGTGTGTGAATGTGTAGCAGGGAAAGGACCAAAAGCCATTTGCAAGCATGTGTCAGTTTTGTGCTATGCTATACTCAAATTCCGAGAGCAGAATATATGGTTAATTAAAATGACTCCAACACAAAAAAAACAAGTATGGCATGTACCTAAAAAAAATAAACTTGATGTTTCGCCGAAAAAAGCAGAGAACCTTTCATATGAAATAGCAGAATATAATGTTTGCAAAAAAAAGAAAAGAAGTGTGTGCTATGATCCAAGACCACAGTCCTTTATCAGTCAGGGAAAAGAATGGGCTACAACAGTTAGAAATAAAGTCATTAACTACTGCTCATTGTCACAAAAAAGAATAGGATTATGTGGAATTTTGGACAGTGCAAACATGCAAGATGTGATACATGACCATGATTACCTACCTTTTCCTTTACATCATCAACTTATTCTTAATAAAATATCTGTAAGCCATTTATTCCAGATGAATTTATTTATTATAGTAGCTACGACTTGTACAATCTTATTGACTGTACTGTAGCAAGCGAGGTGGTGAATCATGAGAAGTTGTAGCTACTATATTTTTTTATTATTTAGTATATTATGTAATCATCAATATTAATTGCACTTGCATAGGGATTGTAGATGTTTGTTTAGGTTTATACTTTCATACTTTCCTTATCCTTTGCCCCTAACAGGTTACACCTGACTCAGCAAAGGAAATTGAAAAGAAAACTAAAAATCAGACGAAGACAAAGTTATGGCATACAGAACGATCTTTTCGAGTGACTGCTTCAAGAGTCGGTGAGATTTGTAAATTTACTGCTAAAAAGGACCAAGAAAAGTATGCACAAAGCCTTATATGTAATAAGAAAATAGTAAGCACGGCCTTAGAATGGGGCAAGTCTATGGAAACCACAGCAATTGAAGCATATGAGGGGAAAACTGGAAAAAAAGTAGAACGCTGTGGTTTATATGTTTCTGTGCAGTACCCTTTCATTGGCGCTTCTCCTGATGGATTAATTGGAGATAACAAAATTTTAGAAGTTAAATGTCCATATTCCATAAAGGATGAAATGATTGGATCCAACAATTATTTCCATTTAGAGCATGATTTGCAACTGAAAGAAACAAGCAACTATTATTACCAAATCCAAACGCAGTTACTTGTCACAGGAAGAGATTGTTGTGATTTATTTATATGGACTAATGTTGATGAAAAAATAATAAATGTTAAAAAAAATGATTCATTTATACAAAATATTATAATCCCTCGAGTAAAAGCTTTCTTTTTTCAATTTATGTTGCCAAAGATAGCAAAAAATATGTATGATTGTTAATATATTTTTATAGTATATTGTAAGATTCTATGTGATAGAAATTAGAACAAAGTTTAATTTTGTATTCTTGTTATTATTTAATAAAGTATGTTTAATACAGTACTGTTAAAAGCGACATCAATTAAATAAAATTGAAAAAAAACATATTTTACTTTATAATATTATTTTTGAAATTGGTTAACATAAAACATACAAATATTATTCTATCTGCTAAAGGCACCAATTTTGAATCCAACTTGCCGCTTAAGATCTTAAAAGTTTTAGCCAAACCAATGACCCTTTCAACTTGTATCCGTTCTGAAGATATATTTTTTGACCTTGTCAGTTGAGAAGTCTCAAATTGTCCATCAGTATTTTTTAAAAATTCTGGCACATTAACTGTAACATCTTTATGGCACACTAGGTCTTGTACATTAAAGCCACGGTCACTAAAAATGATATCATTAGGTTCAAGTTTATCAATAAGTCCACATTTTTCAAACAATTCACGATCACTCGTAGATCCACCATATGCATCGGATACAAATGTAACGCAGCCTGATGCTGAAATCCCAATTAAAACTTTTAGAGTATTTGCTGATTTGTAAGTGGAATATGTAAGCTGTTGTGTAAGTGGATTTTTGGGCTTCTCTATTTTTATTTCCGTGCAATCTACTATCACAGTGCATGGATTAATCTTGCCATAGTATTTCATATTTTTATCTATGCATTGTTTTGGCACCCAAACATTTAATGAAATGAAATGAAATGAAATGAAAATGAAATGAAATGAAATGAAGATTTATTTGCTTTGAAAAAGGTTACATTAAGGTGGTTATTACAAAGTATAGTACAGCTTTTTCAGCCATCAATGGATAGCATGCAAATACATTTTTTATTATTAAGATTATTTAGTGTTTTATTAAAATAGCGAATTTAATTAAAATATATCATAAAATAGTCATCATTTAGAAATTATCAATACATAATACCAATACATACAAATTTAAAAATAATTAAAATTGAAAATGCAATTAAAAATATATAACTACTGTTGTGTCACATCATGTCAAATTTAGGTAGTCATTCACATTATAAAAACAATGATCATTTAGCCACCTGTAAAGGGCGCCTTTAAATCTATTAAGGGGCAAGTCTTTGATATGTCGGGGTATTTTATTAAATATGAGCATACACATCCAGAAGCAATTTTTTTTAAACCGAGCACTCTTGGGTATAATTTCAGCAGCAAGTCTATTGCCATTTCTGGTATTTTGCGTATAAACCTCTTTTGCTTGTCTGAAATAATACATGTTTTGTTTTACAAATTTTGCAATTTCAAAAATGTACAGGCATGGGAGTGGTAGTATTTTTAGAGATACAAATAGCGGCCTGCAAGGCTCATCAGGTGCAGCGCCACATATTGCTCTAATACATTTTTTTTGGGCAATGAATGCCTTTTTTGCATCTGTGCTATTGCCCCATATAATAAGCCCGTATCGCAGTACGGATTCCACATATGCAAAGTACGCAGTAAGTGCTGTATTTTTTGTGGCTACTTTGCTTAGTTTATAAAGTGCGTACGAAAATCTATTTACTTTTTTACATACATGTTCAACTTGACATTTCCAATTTAGTTTTTGATCAATCCATATACCTAGGAATTTTGTCATATTTGTACTTTTTAGTGTTTGTCCTTCAAAATTAATGTTCATTGTCTGGTATAATATGTCATTAAAATTTATAAAATAAGTTTTGTCAAGATTTACAAGTAGGTTGTTATTTTTAAGCCATTCTATTATTGTTTTTACAGTACTGTTAATATCATTAATGTGATCTTTAAGTGATTGTTTACCATCTGTTTTTACTATTACAGATATGTCGTCAGCAAATAAAATGCATTTGTGTTTAGTTACATCCGGAAGATTATTTATATATACTAAGAACAACAGTGGTCCCAAAACGCTACCCTGTGGAACTCCATATTTGTTTTCTTTAAAATCTGATTTGTGATTTAGGACCACATGATTACTGTCTGGTTTGCTTATTTCAACAGATTGACGTCTATTTTGCAAGTAACTTTTAATCCAACTTAAAGCAGTGCCTCTAATGCCACATTTTTCCAATTTTACCAGTAATGAATTATGTGAGACAAAATCGAAAGCCTTCGACATGTCAAAGAAGAGTGCAGTTGTATAATTATTAGCATTAAGGCACGTTAGTGTCTCATTTACCATATCGAAAACAGCATGTGTAGTAGATTTTCCCCTCTGGAACCCATACTGAGTGGGATTCAGGACATGATACTTGTCAAAGAACGATGTGAGTTTAGTATGCATAATTTTTTCATATACTTTTGACAAAATTGGCACGAGCGCAATAGGGCGGTAATTATTCAAAATTGATTTTTTGTCTTTTTTGAATAAAGGCTTAATCAAGGAAAATTTAAGTTTATCAGGAAAGATACCAGAGATTATTGATAAGTTTATTAAAAATGCCAAAACCCTACCTATTTCTTTGTTGCATGCCTTAATTACTTTAGTACAAATGCCGTCATACCCTTCTGAGTCACTATTATTCAAGGTCATTATTACTTTATTTATATCATATTCGTCAACAGGGTGTAGATAAATAGAATTATTTAAAATTAGATTGGATTTATTTTTAGGTATATTATTTTGGATATCTTTGTTTGTCAATTCAATGAAGAAATTATTAAAAGTATTTGCGATTTGTGTAGGAATAGTAATAAATTTGTTGTCATATTCAATAAAGTCAATGTGGTTATTATATTGCGGCTTGGTATCTATTTCATCCTGTATGACCTTCCAAGTAGCTTTGCAAGTATTTTTGCTGTTTATCACATATTTATTATTAGTTATTTTTTTAGAACATAGTATGCATTTTTTAAGTAGTTTTGAATAAACTTTGTATTTGTGTTTATTTTGAGGAGTTTTTCTCCTATAGTAGTTTTTTCTTAGGACTCTATTTTTCGCGCAGCTATTCCTGATTCCCTTAGAAATCCATTTTAAATAGGATTTTGAAGAAAGTCTAACTTTTTTATATGGGAAGCAGAGTTTGTAAAGAAGGCATAGCCAATCATGAAATTTATTAAACGCAGTATTAGGTTCTGTTTCGCTGTAAACATCGGAGAAGGAAAGGCTCGCCAAATATTTTTTAAACTTATCTATATTTTCAGAAGAATAGTCCCTCCTATAGGTGTATAAGGTTTTTGGGGGAGTAGTCTTTGATATAGTACTGAAACCAAGAATTTGCGCAGTATCGTGGTCCGATAAACAGAGAGGGAGGTTAAGTCCAGTTGCACCTTTAATATTACTAAATATATGGTCAATACATGATAGGTCTCTAGTAGGTTCCGTGATATGCTGAGTAAGATTATAATTTTGGAGAATATCTAGTAAGTTGTTGGTCACATTATTTCTTATTAAAGTATTTATGTTGATATCTCCCACAATCACAATTTTTTGCTTCGAGTGCTTATGCAAATATTTACTAAGCACAAACTCCAGTTTATCGAAAAAACATTCAAAATGCCTTTTTTTTGTAGCAGTTGAAGAACGGTATACGCAGACAATAATTATGTTGTGATAAGGTATTTTTATTGAGCAACATTCAAAATGAAAGTTGGCTGAAGCCTCGTCGAAAATGGTTACTTGCTTGAATGCTATACCTTTTTTTACCATTATGCAGGTTCCACCCCTTTTCTTGTTTCGTGAATAGTGGGCCGCAAGTTCGTAATTATGTATATTGATATTTTTTTCCTCACCACACTTTATGAAAGTCTCTGAAAAACAAAGCACATCCGGGGACAAATCTTGATTTAGTTCCGAGAGAGTCACTTCCATAAGTTCTTTTTTTGAGGATAATCCCTGTATATTTTGATGAAGGATTACGAATAAATTGTTATTATTGTTAGGAACGAAAAAAATCATGAATTTTGTTTTCGAGTTTTTGTGTTGTTTTATTTGGTGATTCTTTTGCTTTAACAGGGAAGTAATATGGTATTGTGCCTTTTTTATATACTTGCATGTTCGCGCTATTCTTTGAAATGTAGTTGATCTTATTTGAATCTTTTTTTTAATTTTAGCCCATTTTTAATATAATCGTGCTCATATTTTAGATAATCTATTTCTATATTCAATTTAGTACATATTTTATTTTTAGACGATATTGTATTTAAGCTGGTGCAGTTATTCAGTAATTTGTTTATGTCAATAAAAGTACAATTTTTATAGTTTTTTACAATAAGTTTGATTTCAGCATTAAGTTTATGAACATTTAGATAATTATTTTGTTGTACGCTTAACAAAAATATTTTACAATGCTTTAAGTTACATAGCGTATTGCATAAGTTAGTTAAAAAAAGGTAAGGATTTTTGTCATTACAACCTGCAGATAATATCAGTATGTCATTATTGTTTAAAGAATCTTGTAAATAGGTGCAGCTTCTTAGTACTTCTGAGCTCGATGCGAATGGTTTTACCATACCAGAGACGGTGTAGCAGTCATTATGTAATCCAGTACGTGATAATTTTAATTTCGCTGCCAGGCCTCTAGCCTGTTGATCACCGATTATATGGATAATAGGCTTCCTCATCTTTTTTTGATTAGCAGAGTCATCTAGCGACGAGGCTGGAGAACTATTATGGATTTGATGACTCGGGGTGCTTAGATCGCCGGCGCTTCCTCGATGACTTTTTTCTTTAGTCCTAGATGGCGTGCTACTAATTTGTTGTAAATTATTAGAGCTACATTCCTCCTTTTCATCTTCCAGAAAATCCAAGACTGTTTTGTTTATACTCTTTCTGGTTTTTCTGGTCGTGGTAGTTTTTTTTAAGGTTGGGCTACATATATCTGCTAAAAATTTTGTTTTTATTTCATGTTTGCAAAGTAATTGTTTTAATTTTGTATTTTCTAATAAAATATTTTCTATTTCAGCTTCAGCAATTTGTAGTTTTTCTTTTAGTTCTCGATTTTGTGTCTCAAGATTTTCTATTCTATCTTCCATGTTTAACTTTCTCAAATCTGGGCAGCTATTAGTTTTGCTATTTTGCGTTAATATGGTCATTATATCCGAGTTTTCATCGTCAGTTAAGATCTCGAACGAGTTATTTGTAGGAACATTTACTGACAAATTGTTTTGCGCATTTAAGAAGCATTGGTCACATTTCCATTTTGCTTTATTATCCTCGGTCATCAATGAAAACCTCTTAACAGAAACATTTGCGCAATCAATATGGTAATTTTCTGTACAAAAGAAACAGCATAAATAACTGTCACGTTTCAATATTCTTTTATTGCATTTTATACACTTTACTGCCATCCTGTCGCTCCGTCAAACACTTATCGCGTTTTTTGAATAAAAATAGCAATTATCAATCCACAAAAACAACAAAGTATGGAATACGGCAGGTAGATTTGAACCTCGAGTTCACGGTTATGTTAACAGACCAAGGCGTTGATTCCGCAAGGCTACGATGTAATATACCTTAACGTCGAAATTTAGGTATATATATTTCTTGTCACATGTTTAAACGGGTCTTTGGCGGTTATTATGAATCATCTTAATGGAATTTCTTGTCACTACCACCACTTTATTAATAATTTTATCACTTTTTGTTAATCATAAGGGTCACTGAGAATTTTTATAGGATTGTTATTGATTTATATTATATTTTTCCACGTTTTTTACTCTTTCAATTTACAATATAAGTAATTGATCCATGTTATGAAAATGTTACTTAGTACCGTTTTATTAATCTTCGATCGAAAGGCGAGTTCTGTAAATAGCATGTTCCGGCGTAATTTAATTAACACTAGAAGGAATTGATCACAAGGGTTTAGAAACGGCACCTTCAATGTTTTCAGTTGAGGATAATATTTTAAACAATTTACTTCATCTCCAAAAATACTAAATATGAATTTGATATGTTCATAATCTTGGAAACCAGTATAAAACTGTACTTCGGCCGCATTGGTTATATCTAGCACATTTGCAATTGAAGATTTTTTATTTTTATTTTCATTTTGAAGACATTCTTTAAGTGTTTTGAGATTATCACTTCCACATAAATCACATTGGATACCAACATCATTCTGTTTCTTCTCGAATTCAATTTCTACTTCGAAAAAAGTTTGTAGTTTCCATGAGGAAGGTGTCATCCTTCTCTTTTTCATTGTTTATGTGTACTTGGACACTAATTTTCCTTTCATTTCGCGCCAAACGCCTTTGATGCCGCTCCTTCTTTTTTTGATGCAAACTAGAATTTTGGTCAATCCATGGGAATCGACTTGGCACTGCACATTTTTTCAACACAGGCCTGGCTGGAATAATAATTCAATAAATATAATGTCATAATGAAATCATTTTTGATAAGGCAAGTACTAAAAAACGTTTACACTACATCATTGAAGGTTAGTCGCGCACAGATATAATCAAGGTGACTTAACTGAAGCTTATCATTATAAATAAGTACAAAATATTCTTACGTTTTTCTAATACTGAGTCCTTCGGTAGCTGGTAATCATCCTTTGTGAAGTGGCTTTTGCAAACGAGGCTATTTTTCGTTGGAGTAAATTTATCTCTGCGAATGGCTACAAGCCACTGTTTTAATCGGTTTTTATCTTCTGTAGGGAACTTATGCCCTCCTTTTTTATTTGCACACATAGGCACTGCACAACACTGTGGCATTTTGGAAAACAATATTCTGTTTGTAACGTTTTTAAGGATAAATAAACCAAAAAAATGATCGAAAAATATAAATCGTGTAAGTGTTTTGACAGGTAGTTGGACCTGACACTACAGCGCTGCCATCTCACGGGGAACATTTCAGAAAACCCTCATTACAGGTAGATGCAAAATGTATAAGACTTCTTGTACAAATGAATGGTTACCGCTGAATAACCTTTCACAATACCTATACCACTGCTGCAACACCTATGATGTTAAAATTATTTGCCCTGATCGTGTACTTGGGGAACGGCTTACTAAAGCGGGAGTTATATCTCTCAATAAGGGATGTTTGCTAAAAGGCCAAGATTTTATGTTGTTCTCCCACCAAATTCACACTCATCAAATTGAGATGAAAAAGGACTTATTTCTCCCAAAAATTGACCCATTGAATAACATCATCAAAATAAGCATAACCTCAGAACCTCTAAACGAAAATGACACCAACATATTAGATTTGAACAGCTCCTTACACAACTTAGACCGTCAAATACAAGACCTAAAACAGAATAACGTGCAGTTAACCACATTATCGTCGCACGACATCCATCACTACGCAATCAACTACGTATTAATCGGAGTGGCAGCAGTCGTAGCGGCGGTGTTCGTGTGGCGATGGCGACGGCGGCGACGGCGGCGGCGTGCGCTCATCTCCCCGGACTTGGAGCTGCAGTCGGCGAGTAGTGTCAGTGCAGTGAGTGCGGAAAATAAAAGAAAGGCTAACCGTAAGCCTAGTGTTTTTACAGTGAGTGGTAGTGCGCGAAATTGTGATGTTGACCGTCAACATATGGGCCATAGTGATGTGTCGTGTGAAATTGAAAAACAAAACAAAGCGTGTTCTCCCATACCGCATAGACGTTTTAATGTTTAATTATAAAATTGATTGTCATATCATAAATTAGATACCGTCATCATTTTCATTTAACAAAATAACAAACATTCATTAGGTTAAGTTACAAATTGTTTATCACCTTGTTATTTAGATAAGATCACCTAACACATCAAACTAACATTATAATCATCTTATTACATCTTGGCCCGGCAGCATGTACGGTCCAACCGTACATTTCTGCTGGCGTTAACATTTTACGTGAAGCAATCGATATAGTTCGACAATTATAAAAATTGTGTTAGTTCACGTAATCACCGTAACCGCGACGGACGCGAGCTCATTAACATAACATTAACATTTAACATTTTTTAACATATTTTAATCTTATATTTTTTACTTCTTTATTAAACTGTTTTTATATAAAAGTTTAATTATTATTAAACATACGTCCAATACCCGAACAGCGGATTCTGTCACTGATGTGGTACTTCAGGGTATGGAACTTTTTATTCCTTCCTCTGTGGTGCCCATTTGAGGCAAATCTCAGCCATGGTTTGGTCGCTCCTGTAAAATAGCATCATGCTATAAGCAGGAGTGCTACCAAGCCTGGGCTGACGCATCAGCGTCCCGGGATGTAAACACCAACGCTCTAAAAAAGAAGTATAATTCCGCCTCTAGGTCCTTCAAAGGAGTCATTGCCAAGGCAAAGTCAGAACACATAGGCAGAATTGGCAAGAAACTAGTCCGCCTTCCTTCTGGAACCCGTGCATTCTGGTCTCTCGCCAAAGCTGTCCAGGGGAATTTCTGTAAGCCATCTTTTCCATCTCTGCACAGGGATGACGACTCACTGGCCCATACCGCAAAGGAGAAAGCCGATCTTCTAGACTCTTTCTTTGCGTCTAACTCGACTCTCGATGACGGGGGAGTACGCCGCCAACCATCCCGCGGTGTGAGTGCTCCATGCCGGAAGTGCAGTTCACACAGCGCTCGGTTCGCAAAACACTCCTCTCCCTGGACATCCACAAGTCGAGTGGGCCTGACGGAATCCCCCCAATTGTGCTGAGGAGGTGTGCTACAGAGTTGGCTCCGGTTTTAACGCGTCTTTTCCGGTACTCCTACTCCCTAGGCGTAGTCACAAAACCATGGAAGACGGCTTTCGTCCACCCGATCCCTAAAAAAGGCGACGGCTCAGACCCGTCCAACTACCGGCCTATCGCCATCACCTCCTTGTTCTCCAAAACAATGGAGTCCATTGTAAACTGCCAGCTCATGGGGTACCTTGTGGATCACCAGCTGATTAGTGACCGCCAATACGGTTTTCGCCGTAGTCAGTCAGCTGGTGATCTTCTGGTCTACCTAACTCACAGATGGGCGGAGGCAGTAGAGTCCAAGGGGGAGGCATTGGCCGTTAGTTCGGACATTGCGAAGGCCTTCGATCTGGTTTGGCATGAAGCGCTTCTTTCGAAGCTCCCTTCCTATGGGCTTCCCGAGAAATTGTGTGATTGGATCACAAGCTTTCTTGCAGATCGGGGCATCAAGGTCGTTGTAGATGGTGCAAGCTCCGATTGCAAGCCTATTAATGCTGATGTTCCACAAGGAATGCTATCTCCAACGCTGTTTCTTCTGCATATCAATGATATATTGAAAACCCGTAACATTCATTGTTATTCAGATGACAGCACTGATGATGCTCTTTACACCGGCCGAGCCAATATTTCTCGGGAAAACGTCTCCGAGTGCCGGGACAAACTTGTGTCTGAAGTCGAGTCTCGGATTGGGGGCGACTAAATCTAGTCCAGTTTAACCCCCAGAAGACACAAGTTTGCGCGTTAACCGCTAAAAAGAACCCCTTTGTCGTATCTCCTCAGTTTCAAGGCACTCTCCTTGTTGCCTCAGCCAGTATCGGAATCCTCGGCGTCGACATATCGAGTGACGTGCAGTTTCGTGATCACTTGGAAGAGAAGGCCAAATTGGCCTCTAAAAAGCTTGGCGTGCTCAGCAGAGCGGGACAGTATTTCATGCCGACAAACCGCCTGCAACTTTACAAGGCGCAGGTTCGGCCGCACATGGAATACTGTTCCCATCTCTGGGCTGGGGCTCCCCAGTACCAGCTCCTTCCACTTGACCGCATCCAGCGCAGAGCGGCTCGAATCGTCGACGACCGAGTGTTTTCCGATCGGCTCGATTCACTGGCACTGCGAAGAGATGTTGCATCTCTTTGCATTTTCTTTCGCATATACCATGGAGAGTGCTCTTAGGAATTGTTCGGATTAATCCCAGCCGCCAAATTTCGTGAACGCACTACGCGGCAAACGTCGCGATACCATCCACATAATCTGGATGCTTGGCGGTCCACCATGTACGTTTCAAGAGGAGTTTTCTTCCGCGTACAACCTCTCTGTGGAATAGTTTACCACCAGCGATTTTTCCGGACCGATAAGACCTGGGGACCTTCAAGAAAAGAGCGTACTCCTTTCTAAAGGGCCGGCAACGCACCTGCAATTCCCCTGGTGTTGCGGTTGATCGTGGGCAGCGGTAGTCACTTAACATCAGGTGAGGTGAAATAGGTTTAGTTAACTTATTTTAAAAATCGGATTTTTTGAAAAGAAAAGTCCTATCAGTTTATCGTCTTAGATGGTGTTAACCAAGTTTTTGTTTTTATTATAAAGCTTCAATTACAAAAGTGCTAATTAAAAATAGTTATTGATTTTCAAGAGTTATTAAATGAAATGTCTGGAAAATATTTAATAAATTAGGAAAAAAAAGTTTTACACTATATAATAGTTTAACAAAGTGAACTTGAAGCAGACAGCTGCTTAAAAATAAAACGTGGCATCTACCTAGGGCTAAGTATTCCCCAGAAAGACGTTTTTCTTTAATATTACATTACTATTCACCGAAAGCTTAACAATATGTGCGAAATATCAAAAGTTTTGAAATTGGTCTGCCTTCATCACATACTATAACAAAGTGGTACAGTACAATTTATGGCCGACTTGGCTACACAAAAAAAGCATTAACTGTTTTAAAACTTAGACTAGAAAGTAACCCTGACAAGAAATTATATTGTATATTAGTGATAGATGAAATGAAAATAAAACAATTGACGGATACCATGCAAGTTCTAAAAGACATTTTGGTCATATACATAATGCCTTTGGCTACTAGCATGGTATTCTGTCAATTGCTTAATTTTCATTTCATCCATTACCAAGGTACAATAAAAAAATTATCAGGGTTATTCTCCGCTCTCAATTTTATTGCCGTCAGCGCTCCTTGAGTAAACCCTGGTCGGCGATCGATGGTAGTGTAACATTTAATCAATGTCCCGTACAGGCAAACACGTTCCAAAAGTTTTACGTAGATAGCGATAGGCTTTTGGTGAGTAATAGTTAAGTGTTAGGGCATAGTATTTCTTGCAAACTTGTGAAGCCTGTTTATGCTATTGTTTTTTATGTCAAGGCATTTTTTCATTTTAATTTTCCTTGGCCTAAGTGTTGGCTCGTACTAGCGGTGGGAGTAGGACTAGTTCGGGCTATATAAGGATTTTTTTTTCGAATTGTGACTTTCGAGATAACTTATGAATTTTGCCGGAACATCCAGCTTTCTTTTTTCGATGTAAACGATATTGTGAAATCACCACGATATTATAGTCAGAAGATACAAGCTATATATATATATATATATATATATATATATATATATATATATATATATATATATATATATATATATATATATATATATATATATATACACAATATGTAACGTAATTAACGCACACTCTCAGACACCCCAATTAGTATATTATGTTATAATCATAATACATAAACTGAATTTTTAGTTAAACATTTTTATGCACTGATTATTTATCAAATTAGTTATGCTAATTCCGGAAGAATGTTGTGGTCACAGTAAAAATCCACGAACGCAAAGACGTTAACGTGCTTTAAATAAAGTTAATTTTTCTTTATTTTTATTAAATGACAGAATTAGTATTAATACAAATAAAACTGCACTCTTAAAAGCCTTATTGCCTAAAGTTACGGTCCATTTCAGTTTGTTTTGACTGTACAGATTTAGTGTGACTGTAATTTACGTAGTTTTAATTACTTTTGGGATAAAAAAA